GCCGGCCTGAGGATCAGAAGTTCTGGCATTTTTTGAAATCCTTCCTGCAAATCTAGTAAAGGGAATTCATTGCATTTATCACTTCCAGATATTTATTTTTATTTTACTTAGTTATTCATTCGGTAGAATTACAATCTGCCTTTCTTCCAGGAGCCTCTGGGGAAGACGGTAGCCCCCTCCCCTGCTTTTTCCCCTGTGAGGTTGGCTCCCCTCAGAGAGCACGCGTGGCCCAAAGGCACCCAGTGAGCATTGGTGGCTGAGAGTACCCCCCCCCCTACTCTTTGGTCTTCCCCACCCTCATGGGGGGGACACCTCTGGTCTCTCCTCATCAAATCCAGAAGTGCTGCTCACTGAGACCCTCATCAACAGGGCCAGATTCCATAGGTTGTCCAAAGAGAATGAAGTTGGATACAAATTCATTCCCTAAACCAGTGGTTCTCAACCTTTTTAATGCAGCGACCCCCAACCGGTTGTAAGTCGAGGACTACTCAACCGGTCATAAGTCAAGGACTACTCAACTGGTGCAGCACCATTTGCAGACTGGGACTTTTGGCGGGCTCAGCAGGGCAGAGATAGCCTGGACAATTCCTATTGGCTTTGAAAGCCAATAGAATTAGACTCTATTCAAGAGAGTCTATTCTATTGGCTTTCAAAAGCCAATAGAATAAAAGGGAGTAGCACAGCTAAGGAAAAGGGGAAAAAAATGGCGGACTGCGTTGTTTGGCGACCCCCGTGAAATGGTCGTTCGACCCCAAATGGGGTCCCGACCCACAGGTTGAGAACCACTGGCCTAAACTAAAGCCAAGATCCCTGGTGCTTTGAAAGAAGGAGAAGCTCTGGATTTTATCCAGCTTCCTGGCTCTTGAGCTCCCATAGCCATTGATGCTGATCTGAGCAGCCCCCTTCCAAGATACACGTGGAAGCTTGATCACGCCATTCCTGCCTGCTGATTAAGTAAACATTTCCCAGTTGCTCAAAATCTCTCCCTCCTTGGCATCGACCGGTCAAGAGAAGCAGCCCAGTGTGGAGGCTGAACGGTAGCATCTAAAATATCCTCAGACTGATCCCTTAAATCTGCCCAGTTGCCTGGAATCAATTCCCCCAAGAGGTGCGCTGTTCCCATTGTGTCCACGCAGCCTGATGGGGTTGGGGCCCTGCGGCTCTGACAGATGCCAACCTGGGAAAGGCTGACTGAGGGCAACTGCTATGGGGAGACCGCATGCTGGAGAGATCCCTCCAACCAGCGTCTCATCTATCATCTTGGTGACGCCTCCCTTTCCAGCTGTTTGGGGCCCTTTGCAGATATCATCTCTGCCGCCCTGAAGCCTCCACAAAAGACACGCTGCTCCCACTTGCTGCTGCACGAGGGGCCAAAGCCCACGGGATCCGTCCCTTGTTGGCTTTGGCAGGAACGGGTTGCCTACCTGAGTGGAGGAGGCCTCGCAGCTCCCAGTTCTGGGCATTTCACTCAGTCCTCTGCCCAGCCTTGGCACAGCGGAGGCGTTAATTACAGGCCAGCGCAGGTGTCTTTATGCAACGGCAGGGACTGGCTTTGCCTGCCTTTCAGTGGCAGCCAGTTTGAGTCCCACCTCTACTCCCAGACAGAACTAATGCAAAAGCACTCTGTACATGCTCAAGGCTACCCTCTTGTTAGCGCTTCATACGCTGGCATAGGATGACAGTTCCCAGAATTCAGGCATGGACGGGCTGCTGAGGAATTCTGGGAGTCAAAGTCCACTCAGCAGATGGGGTGACTGTCGCATTCAAGACAGGCTCAGGCGAAGCTTTGAGGGTCCCGGCGGTGCCCCCTCTTTTAGGAGAGACAGTCGAGCCCACGTCCTCCCCAACAGACGCAGGGACTGCCTTTCCCCCAAAGGCTCCGCTGCTGCGTTGAGGGAAGAGCATTTCTCAGCCGGCTCTTGGCGGATCTGCCTCCTACACTTGGCCCAGCAGGCAAGGAGATCTGGCAGAGGCCTCTGAAATGAAACCTTGAACTCATCACCCCTGAAGAGCAAATAGCTCTCTCTCCCCAGCCAGCTGGAACGCCCCACCCTCCCCTCCCCTCCCCTCCCCTCCGGGCCTGACTGCACTTTTCTCACCCTCCTCCCACGCCCCCCATCAGTGGGGAGGGTGCCAATATTCCCGGGAGATAAGAAAAGTGCTTCTCCTGCCAAAGGACCGGTCAGCCAGAGGAGCCGTGGGCAGCCTGGTCAGGAGCCGTTGCTCTTCCAGGGGGAAGCAGTTGGGCAGCAACAGCCAGGAGCAGAGAGGCTTGGGTGAGTCCCGCAGCGGTTGGGGTGGGGGTGAGGCTCCAGGAGACGGAGGGTTCCGTCCGGAGGGGGACAGGCAAGCCACCATTCCCCAAAGCCCCCCCCCCCCAACTCACCTGTTTGGTTTCCAAATACTTGAAGTAGCTAAGAAGGAGTCAGCCTGACCACAAACGAAAAATTCTATGGTCCAAAGGATACCTTTAAGAGTGTTAAAGCACTTTAAAAGAGAGAATTGCAAGAAGGAATATTTGAAAAGCAAGAAGCTCCTTCACTCTTTTCTTGGAATACTTTTCCATGAGGAGTTTTGCAGAAATGAATTTGTTCCTCCTTGCCCAGGGATGAACGGAGACGGGGCACAGGGGTCTCCCTTAGGAACTGCCTCCAGCGTTGAGTATGGGTTGGCACGGAGCTCTTCCTTGGATGGAAAAAAGGGTTCTGGATAAAATTCTTCTAAGTCAGACCTTCATTCCAAAGTTCATTTCTTATACAATGACTGCTGAAGAATACTTTTCCATTCTTAAACGTCAGATGCAGATTCTTTTTTGGGGGAGTAATAGGATGCTCCAAAGCCAATATTTTATTTTGATATGTATACAAATTTAATATCCAGCATTTTTAGTGCAAACTGACAGTTGTGTCTCTCAGACTTGTGGCTGGTTTCCTATGAGGCTGCACTGGGCAAAAGGGATCAAATCAGATTGTAGACCAGAAGAAATTGGTGGGCCAATAAACCAAGCTTCGAGAGCAATCACTCATACACCCAACAAGGGTGTCTCTGAAGATGCTAGTCCTCACTGATTCAAGCATCTTTTGAATCTCCTGCCCCAGAGATTTCTTGGGCCCCTTGAGACCCAAGAAGGACGTGGCTCTGCTTGTCCTGGGAAGCAAACCCACAGAGACCTGTTCTGACCATTTCTGCCCAATAGGTTCCCCAAACTCTTGGGCCACGTGGAGTCTTTGGGGCCACCATTACAGCTTCAATCTGGAGACATTATCCGGCTGAAAAAAGCAGAGAATGATTAAATAGTTGCACAAGAAAGTGGCCATTGTACTCCCACACTACTGTGGGGTGTCTAGTATTGCCTATTTGAGCAGGGAGGGAATAGGATTCCAGGAAGGGGTGCAAAGGCTGCAATTTGGAGGTGGCTTTTTACCTATGTTACCATGCCCGGTGTGTGTGTGTGTGTGTGTGTGTGTGTGCACGCGTGTGCTTTGACCAGCAATCAGCTCTATGCTTCTGCCCAGCACTATATAGAACTTTGAACAATTGTGGATTTTATTTGATCAATATAGTAGTGGATGATGGGAGGTGAAGTAATCATCTCAGCAATACCGTGGCCCCAAACTGATTTTGGGTTATAGCCAAGAAGGCGAGTTTTGAATTGAATTTGAGTTTTGATGGCAAGTGTGACTTTCTGGGGTTCTCTTATGCCCCTAAAGGCAACCGACATGGCCTCAAGCACTGATCAGCTCATCCCGTCTTTCTCAACCTTGGCATCGCTGTAGGTCTTCCATTGCCAAGATTGGGACACACTGAGTTAATCTCTCCATTCTAAGCAGCAGCTCATCAAAATCTCATCAGACCCTCTCATGCCAATTACATCGACCCGTGCCACTCGTCGAGCGGGAAGAGCATGCTGCGTATCCTGTCAGTCAAGGAATTTTGACTGGTGGGATCTTCGCTGTGGCCCCCGCCCTTTGGAACATCTAACCCCCAGAAGTGAGGCAAGCCCCCACCCTTCTGGTTTTTGTATGAAGACCCGGCTTTGCCAGTTAGCATGGGGTCTAAGAGTACCATGCAGCCCTGAGGATGACTGGCTGCTTGATCACACCCCTGCTGCCTTGTGAACCTTTTAGCTTTCTGAATGTTAAACTTTGATTTTTATTTTTACTTGCATGTTTTAACTTGTTCCTAATTCTGCTTTTAATCTGTGCTTTTGTGTGTTCATATGGTCTCGTTACGACGTAAACTGCCCCAGAGTCACTTAGGTAAGATGAGTGGTGTAGAAATTAAATCAACAAATAAAAGAGCCATTTGACAGCCTGTTCCCTCACCATCTTGCCTGATTCTCCAATTAACCTTCAAGCAGCACATTCAGTCCTGAATTGAACACTTGAGCTGGGTTCATTCAACACCCTAAACTAAAACGAGGTAGCTCCCTTTTTGGTTTGGTATGTCATGTGAACACAGCCCTCAGGGAGAACCAGGGAATTGTAGCGCCATCGTAGGCTTCCTCCTGAGAAAAATCTACATCTTTGGAGGCCTACAAAGATGTTCTGAATACCGTGTGTGGCTTTGGGTTACAACAGAAAACAAACCGATGGCAACCTTGGGGTGAACTCAGCTGCCTGGCTCAATTTTGGAATTTTGCAGTTGGCTGGTTGGTTGCACCTTGGACTTCTGTGCTCTGTTCTTGGTGGGGGGGGGACAGATAGAGAGGGAGCAGTGAGATCTTTCTTTGACCAGCCTGGCTGGCTGCAGCGTTGACAAGAGTGGTGTGGTTGTGGGTTCGATTTCCGTGCCTGTTGCCAGAGGTGGGTAAAGAGGACAATGGGCACACGGCTCTGCCAAAGCCTCACCCCACTCAGAACAAGGTGGCCTTCTGGGGAATGGCAAACTTTAAGGCCCCATTGTCACATCCCAGGGTCAACCTCCACCGCCTGATCTGGCTGGCAGGGAACATGTTTGCATACCAGGGCATAATCGTTGTCTTCCAGAATCGGCCAGCCATGTCCGACGTGGAATTTGGACGGATGTCTTTCAAAGAGGAGAGCAAGCGTGTCCCGGCCCAGCCCCACTGGTACGAGCGCTACCTGCAGCCTTGCATCGGGGAGCTGGTGGGCTCGGCCTTCTTCATCTACATCAGCTGCGTTTCGGTCATCGAGAACTCAGAGGGCACCGGGAGGCTGCAGCCGGCCTTGGCTCATGGGTTGGCGCTGGGACTCACCATTGCCATCTTGGGGAATATCAGGTGAAGGAAGGGGCAGCCGTGGGGTTTGGCCAGGGGATGTGGTCAAGGAGGCGAGTCATCCATGAAGGAGCAATGGAGGGAGCTAGAGTACACCGCAGGAGGAGGAAGAGGGCTCTGCTGAATTCAGACAGATCCATCCTCCAGATCACTGCTTCTCAGCCTTGGCAAGTGGAAGGTGGGTGGACTTCAACTCTCAGAATTCCACATCTTTACTGGCTGTGGAATTCTGGGAGTTGGTCCACCCATCTTCAACTTGATAAAGTTGAGAAGCACTGATTGACAGGGCTGCAATCTCAGTTCTCTTTCTCTGCATCGCTCTCCCCCACCATTCCAGTCTCCTGCCTTCCGCCCAAGGAACTGAATGGGTAACCAGGCCAGATTTTAGACATGGGGAGGCCCCCTTCATAGCTGCTGGGGTGTGGGGGGCAAACACTATTGGCAGGGGGAAGGACAACCTAAGCCTGTCTCACTCCTGGACTGGGGCCCTCCTCATGCCCCGGAAAGGTGTAAATATTAGTTTGGTTTTTTGTGTTTATTATTAAATTTATGTGCCATCCATCTTGCTACCCAAAGCAACTCTGCATAGAAGTGCAGGATGAGGCAAGGCCAACAATGGCAGAAGCAAAATGTAGTACAAACTATATCTGAATCTCACACAAGTCAGAAAGTGGACTTGGAGGTTCCACCGATTCTTGTCACTGAATGAAGCCAGAAGATGCCCAAGAAAGGGAACATTTCCACGTCACAGCAGCTGAAATGTCTTGAGTTTTGCTCCCTGCCAGCAGGCAATGGGGTGATCCAGCACCCCTTTTCTGCCAACTTCCCTCTGACCAAACATTTCTCTTTCCCACGCTCTGCCTGCAGCGGAGGCCACTACAATCCTGCCGTTTCCCTGGGGGCCTGGCTCGTTGGCGGGCTGAACATGGTGATGGTCATTCCGTACTGGATCTCCCAATTCTGCGGGGGAATGATTGGAGCTAGCCTGGCTAAGGTATGGCAGAGGATTGGGAAGGGGAGAGCACTTGGGGTGCAAGGGGCCAGCCTTACAAGGTAGACTAGATCAGATGAGCTAACTCTACTTTATTGTAAGATTGCATTAACAGAATATTACAAGTCTGAATGTACTGCACGTCTTTTCCTTGGACCCTTTTACAGCCTAAGAAATGAGGGAGGGTCCCTTCTGAGATGTTTCCTCTTCCACTTTCCCACTCTGGGCTCAGCTGCTTTTTATCTGATTTTCTCCTTGGTTGTTGTTGCCCTGTTTCCCAAGGCCTCTCTCACAGGTGGAGAGCAGAGACTATGGCAGTTGCTGGGTGGTGTTCCATGTGCTCCCAGGCTCGGCTTGTGGTCACTCACTCACAGCCTGTTGAGGCATGCAGATCTTGTAACCTCCCCCCCCCCTTTGCTTTCTACCTGGGCATTCCAGAGAGCTGTGGCTAGAGCAGACAAGGCACAAAACGCTGGTCAACAGCCAGGAAATAATTAAGGATGCACACAAATCACTTTCAATGAACACTGAGGCATAAACGGTTTTCCGAAATACACAAAGACCCAGTGAATTTAAAGGAACACCAACATTTTATGGTATTCTTTACACCAGCGGTTCTCAACCTTTGGGTCGCGACCCCATTTGGGGTCGAATGACCATTTTACGGGGGTCACCAAACAATGCGATCCGCCATTTTTTCCCTCAGGGGGTGCCGCTGCGCATGCACGCCGCACATGGGGTCGGTGCCCCGCATGCGCGCCGCGCATGGGGTCGGTGCCGCACATGTGCACCACACATGGGCCCGGCGCTGCGCGTGCACACCGCACATGGGGTCGACGCTGCCGTGCACGCCACACATGGGGCGGCGCCGCGCACGCACGCTGCGCATGGGGTCAGCCCCCCGCACATGCATGTCGCACATGGGGGTCACCCCTGTGCATGCGTGGCATGCACGGGGTTGGCGCGGTGCACACGCACCGCACATGGGCGCCACCACGCATGGGGGCGGCACATGGGGGCGGCACCGCGCATGGGGTGGCACATGGGGCCGCCGCCGCACATGGGGGCGGCACATGCGCGGTGCGTCCTTATGACCGGGGTCGCCGTATAAAAAGGTTGAGAACCACTGCTTTACACTGTTCATTTGCTTTTCCTCACACTCACAAGCACACTCTTGTATTTTACCTACATCCTTCTCCACTTGGCTGGCAGGCACTAGCCAGAGGGACAGGAGCTGCCCAGTCTGGATCCAAAGATGACTCAAAGAGTGGGGGGCTTCAGGACCTCTTTTCCCCCCTCCCAAAGTCCTTCCTCCGGCGATTCACAAGATTGGCAGCTATTCCTGCTTTGTTTACTTATACATTTGGTAGCCACTGAAGGGATTGGTGGACGGGAGAGTTTAACCACATGCTCAACTTCCTTTAACTGGTTCAGGTGACATTTTTCCTTTGTTTCTTTACCAATTTTTCTTCTTTATCTACCTGCCCAAACAATCTTTTAGACAATATTTCTGGCTTTTCATTCTCTCTGCTTCCATGACTGCTTCATCTTTAGTTACGGCAACCTCAGTCCAGTCTCACAGGGCTTAGGAGGAGGTGTCCAACCCATGGCAGATCTCCCATTGACCCCTTCCCCCCCCAGAAGAACCAGAGTCAGCTAATACGGTGGGCAGAAAAGTGGGTGTCTTGGTGGGTGTTTGGCTTCTGAACATGTCCTTCCTGCTGACCCTCCTTGCTGCCAAAGGAGATGCAAGGAAGGCTGGGAGGTGGGATGTCTGCCTCCATATCCAGCTGTGGCTTCAAGTCCCCCCTAGCCCTTCTTTTCACAAGACTAGACAAACCCAATTCCTGCAGTGGTTCTTCCTATGTTTTATTGCTCTTCTCTGTACTCTTTCCAGAATCTCTACATTATTTTTATAATATGGTGACCAAAACTGGATGCAACGTTCCAAGTGTGGTCTTATTAAGGTATTATAAAGTGATACTAATACTTCACGGTGTTTTGATTCTTTCCCTCTATTAATGCAACCTAGGATTCTGTTGGCTTTTTTGGCAGCTGCCGCACACGGCTGGCTCATAGTTAAATGATTGTCTACTAGGACTTTGAGGTCCCTCTCAAAGTGACTGCTATTGAGCCACATTTCTGTGTGCTTGGTTAGTCCAGATGTATCAGTCTGGAGTAATCCCTCTTTGATGTCTGTCTCAGGTGACCACAGAAAGGGAGAGATATGAAAATGCCACAGGAGCAGCTTTCACGGCCATCACCTCAGATCATCAGCTCCCAGCTGCTGTGGTGGGGGAGATTGTGATGACCATGTTCCTGGTGATGGCTGTCTGCATGGGGGCCATTAATGAGAAAACCAAGAGTCCACTGGCACCCTTCTGCATTGGCTTCACCGTCACCGTGGACATCCTGGCTGGGTGAGTAGGCCAGAAGGCTGGTAGGAGGTTTTGCCCAGGTCCAGGAGGAAGATCTTTCTGCACAAATGCCCAACGGCAAGCCCCGTCTTCTGCACCAACATTTTCTGCTATTGAAATGCTTCTTACAACTATCTTTAAAAGGGGGAGCAGAGAGCCAGCTCTGGAGAGATCCAGGAAGGCTCCACAAAAATGTATCCAAAGGCTTCCTTTTGCTGATGCAACATCCATTCTACTGCCTCAATACCTATGCTCTATAGCAGTGGTCCCCAACCTTTTTGGCACCAGAAACCAGTTTCATGGAAGACAATTTTTCCATGGACCTGGGGGGGGGAGAGGAGGAGGAGGAGCATGCAACCTAGATCCCTTGCATGCTCAGTTTACAGTCGGGTCTGCTGTGTGGCCCAGTTCTTACCAGGGCCTGGGGTTGGGGACTCCTGCTTTATACGATTTTCAGACAAGAGATTTTGACTTGGTTTGGAAAAAAGGCAACCCATTGCCCACAAAATTTGTTCCCATTGATATTAACAGCCCCCTTCTGCAAAACAAAAACACCTGCCATATTAAATATTAAAGGAGCAACATTACTACCTATTTGTGTGGATCACCTCCATCTCCATCCTCCTTCACTCCCCTTCTCCCCCCCAGATGTTAACACAGGTACAGATTACATACAATGTGCCCTCACTTCTCTACCTAAACCAAAAGGTGCTTCTTCCATCCTGGAGGACAGGCAGGGGCAGAGCTGGTTTCAAGATTAGGTGAACTTGTAGCATTTCCACGTCTCAGAATACTGATATAAAAACATTGGCAGATGAAAGAAATAACTGCACACATGCTCAGCACAACCAGGGCCTTTGGGAGAGGGAAGACTGGCGGCCACGATGGCTGATCCTGAGCCCTTACCAACACCCTGGAGTGCTCCTGCTCCCTGAGGGTTTAAGGTCTGTTTTGGAAGGAATGTAGCCTGTGGGAAGCACAAGGAAATAAAACTCACCCCCATGAGCTTGCCTGGGCATCTTCTGAAACCAGGCTGCCATTTGCAGCCCAAATTTGACGCAGGAGGGAAGTAGTGTTGCTGTTATTACACATTATAGCTAGCCAGCTCCCTCATGAGACTGCAGGGCCTCCTGACCTGCTGGACAGCTCCACTGCCTGGCTGATGGACAGAGCCCTGTGGCTTGGGGGGGGGGCGGCTTAGGGTGGGCAGAAACAGCTCTTGGGGCCTGACTGGGGAGAACCCTGTCCCTGGCACTCTTAGCTACTAGGATCCAGGGTGCCCGACTGGGCACTTGGGCCCTTCATGCCCAGAAGCCTTCAAACTCAGCATCTCTCCATCATCATTGAAGTTTTGTCTAGAGCAGTGGTTCTCAACCTTTTTAATGCCGCGACCCCCAACCTGTCGTAAGTCGAGGACTACCCAACTGGTCATAAGTCGAGGATTACCCAACCGGTCGTAAGTCAAGTACCTTCCCTGCCCGGGAGCGCCATGCATGCGTGGTGCCGCCCCCTGTGCCGGCCGAGGCCTAGCTGGCAAGGGGCAGCGACGGCGCAGGGCGACCACCGGCTGGGCCACCAGCAGGCCCAGCCCAGGCAGGTAAGGCACCCGCTGGGCCCCACATGCGCCAGCAACCCTCCCTGCACTCACCAGCCTCCCACCTCCCACCCCTGGCCCTCTTTTACTTACTTTTAGTAGTTGCTCAGCAGGGAGGGAAGCTTTCCTTGCAGCACCGTTTGCAGACTGGGGCTTTTGGCGGTCTCAGCAGGGCAGAGACAGCCTGGACAATTCCTATTGGCTTTTGAAAGCCAATAGAATTAGACTCTATTCAAGAGAGTCTATTCTATTGGCTTTCAAAAGCCAATAGAATAAGAGGGAGTAGCGCAGCTAAACAAAAGGGGAAAAAAATGGCGGACAGCCTTGTTTGGCGACCCCCGTGAAATAGTCGTTCGACCCCAAATGGGGTTGCAACCCACAGATTGAGAACCGCTGGTCTAGAGGAAGTTTCAGTCCTGTCCTACCAGCAATCAGGGAGAAGAACGCCCATCAACTGATAAAATAAGAGAGACCACAGATGGCCACTACATATTTAAATTGCACTTTAGCTGCTAAGTAATTTTCCCCAGCTGTTGCCTACAGAGATCAGCAAGTGGACGGAAGAGGGTAGCCTTCAAGGAGGGGTCCTGGAAACCCCGGGGGAATCTCCTCCTGACATTGACTCAGCTGATACTCAGGGCCCATTGCCCACTGGCATCTTCCTTATAGATCCATATCAGGATATTCCCCCCCCCTCCAAATTGTTGGCGCCTCAGGACAAAATCCCTGGGAGTGTCTGCTACTTCTTTCAAAATAATAGAATGACATGACAGTTGACCACCCATTGGCCAGTGTGTGTGGGGGGGTATGGGTGTGTGTGTGTGTGTGTGTTCTGTTTCTAGCCATCCAGAAAAAACATCTCGCCCTGCAGTGCTTTGCCTGCTGCTTTTCTAAAGACCAATTGAAACATGCTCTGCAGCATCCCTTCCCCTCCCGGAGTCCTTTGCTTGTCCCCGGAGGCTCATGTTCTAGTTATTTCCATGTCACTTCAGGGTACCCGGGGGAGGCTTGCATGCGTTGGCCTGTTGGCCCAACTGAAATTGGACTTGTCTTGGTGAATGTCTTGGGGTGGGGGCATTGTAAGCATTGCCAATTAACTCTGCACTCAGTGAGGATAAAAGGGGTGGCAAAGAAGGCGCCTCTAGGGGCTTCTTTGCCCAGAATGGAGAATCCAGAAGCTTTGAGAACATTACCGGGAGTGACGCCTTCATTCTGTCAATCTTTCTTCTCTATTCAGGGGAGCCGTTTCTGGAGCCTGCATGAATCCAGCCAGAGCTTTTGGCCCTGCAGTGGCTGCCAACTACTGGGACTATCACTGGGTGTACTGGGTGGGCCCCATGGGGGCTGCGCTTCTGGTGGGCGCATTGATAAGGTACGTGGCAGGTTTTCAAGGCCTTCCGGAATGCCCGGGGGGGGGAGCTGTATGGATCTGGAGGGGGGGGGGAAACCTCATTCCAGCAAGCAAGTCCCTCTTCAAGGGGTTGCCTGGCTGGGTTAGTTGGATCCTTGGCTGGAGCAGGACTCAGGATTAATTGAGTCTATCAGCAGTGATTCCTGAATAACAGTCAAAGGAACTTCCAAGGCAGAGTGTCTGAGATCTTAAAGGATCCCTGGTTTGTGGGAGAACGAGAATGAGGAAGTGTTTGGCATGCAGGAGACCCCACATTTAGTCCTGGTAGGTCCAAGCCAGGCAGGAAACACACACACATAGAACTGAATCAGTGACATCTTGGCCCATGTCAGGAATGGATGCGTCAAAGCCTCAGGGCAGCCTGTTGCTTCTCAACTGCTTCTGTTTGGCCACTCAAAGTTTTTAATATGACAGAAGGCATAAATAAGGCAACACATGGGAAGCAATCACATTAGCTTTTAATTAATCTAATTGCAATTATGTTTACAAGTAACGTGTGGCTTTGCCTGACTATGCCAACTTTTTAAAATTTGGCTCGTGCGCCATTCAAAAGCCAGAGGTCAGACTGTGTCCACGCTGGTCTTGGGAACCTTGTTCTTGCATCCCCACATGGTGATGGCATGTACTCCGGAGGAGTGCTGGATTTGGAGTCCAGAGAACATCTGTAAATGCTCTGAGAAGTCAAGATGTTTTAGCAGCCTTCTGTTCGGGTATGGTCGGTGAAAACAGCCTGAACCACTCCTGTATGGTCTCAAACAAAGACTTTCACCTCTGTTACATGAATCTCACCAGACTGACTGCGTTCCCCTGGGAATGGACAGATAAGGCTCCAGGGATTCTGGGGGAGATCAGGCTGTGCTGCCCCCTGCAGTGCGAGGACTCCAAACCTGCCCCCCTCTTAACACCTCCCTTCAGTCTAGCTCAGGGATAGGCCACCGTGGCTCTTTTATGGCTCGTGGACTTCAACTCCCAGAATTCTGGAGCCAGCCACGCTGAGGGGAAAGCGAGAGGTTTCCAAGCTGAGCCATGCTGGCTCAGGAATTCTGGGAGTTGAAGTCCATGAGTCATAAAGCGGCCCAGGCCTAGGCGGGAGGTAGGCAACCTTGGCTCTTTTATGGCTCGTGGACTTCAACTCCCAGAATTCCGGAGCCAGCCACGCTGAGGGGAAGGGAGAGGTTTCCAAGCTGAGCCATGCTGGCTCAGGAATTCTGGGAGTTGAAGTCCACAAGTCATGAGGGGGCCAAAGTTTCCCCCATGCTGGCTCAGGAATTCTGGGAGTTGAAGTCCACCAGTCATAAAAGAGCCAAGGTTCCCCACCCTTGGTTTACACAGGAACAAACCCAGAGGCCAGATTGTTTACGCAGAGAGTTCTTTCACTGTCATTCTATCACCATCTTCTTCCTCCCTTGTGCAAGTGAGATGCGGGGAAAGGCAGTGTCTGACGTTGGTATCATAAATTAACCAGACAGGCTAGGTTTGTGCAGCAGGCTTAGCCATAAATGATATTCAATCAAGGACAATGTGAGCTATGTTCAGCTTGGAAAAGGCAGAATAAGAGAGCTGGAAGGGACCTTGGAGGTCTTCTAGCTCCGGGTTAAGTGGAGACTTGGAAGTTGTTGCTTTTTAGAGAAATGAAAGGCAGTCAGATCATAACATGGACGTCAGAATAAACTCAGAACAACGGCAGGAGAAAAAAATCCTAAAATGTAGGCACAAGGGAGAACAATTTCAGCGAGAGAGAAAAAACAAAGCAGGCTGTGCAGCCACCGGGATATCCAACCTTGGCTACCGGTGGGTTTCAACTCCCCGAATTTCCCAGCCAGCTTTCCTTAAAGTTGCCAGCTAGGACACCCCGGCTGTAGGGTTCCGGCTCCCCCCTGCCCAGAGAAGGAGGGGAAGGGCGGTGGGCCGCCTCCCTCCTGCAAGGCCAGCTGGTCCCACGGCTCTCTCCTTTCCTCCTCCAGGTTCTTGATCGGGGACAGCAAGACGCGCTTCTTCCTCAAGTGAGGGGCCCTGCCGGGACCGCCGCCCCCCCGTCCCCGCGCGACCCCAGGTTGCCGCCGCCGCCGCCCTTGCCCGGGGAAGAGACTGGCACAAGCGGGGCTCCACCAAGCGTTCATTTTTGGCCCTGAAAAAGGGGCGGTGTGGTGTTTTTTTCCCATGGTTGCAAACCTGGGACATTCTGCCTCTCCTGTTTTGAAACGCTGCCTCGAAGGAGAGAGACAAAGGCGAAGAGGCGGCGGCCCCGGCAGATCCACCAGCCGAAGCGTGGAAGCCGCTCCGGGAGGAGCTTCGGCCCAAACGGCCTCCGGGGACCCGGGTGAAGCGCTTCCACCGACCGGATCCCATCTGGAAAGGGGCTCCTTCGCCCAGCCGAGCGGGAGGAAGAGCCGGGCTGGTCCGGCTCCCACGGCGATGCCCTGAGCTCTCGGGACACCTCGGCCGGGCTCGGAGAGGCCCAGCCGCTCCCTGGGCGTGGACCCTCCCCGGCGGAGCTTCCCTCCCCAGAGAGCGTCCCCTTAGCGGCCTCCCTGTGGCCCCGAAGCCTCTCCGCCCATGCGCGGGGCTGCAGCCAGGCGCCTCCCCGCCCTCCGGCGCCTTGAGAGGCTTTGGCCCAGATGCCCCCCAAACCCCCGCGCTGGCCCCGGGCCTTGCGGGGGGAGCTCCCCTCCCAGCCGCTTCCTGGACCCGCCACCCCCCAAGTCCCCGAGACTGGCGCCCCCGCCCCGAGAGCCGCCTCCCCGCGCCCTTCGAGAGGCGCTGCGCGGCGGGGGTTCTCGGAGCGGAGACCCCGCCCGGGCTGGGCCGCGGCCGGCGGTCGCCCTGCCCGAAGGAGCCGGCGCTGCGCTTTGCCTGCTGGGATCGGGAGAAGCCGGGATCCGGAGACGGCCGCGGCCCTGGGGAGGTCTTTCGCTCCAAGCCAAGGCCGCGGCGCTCTGCGGCCAGTTAAGGGGGCCGCCGGGCCGGGTCTTTCCCCGCCGCCTCGCCGAGCACTGAGCCAGCGGCTGCTTTGCACAAACCTGAACGCGGAACTGCAGGTGGACAATGGGGACACGTCCTGGCCTTGCACACCAGCATATGGGGAGAGGACTGTGGAAGTTTGGGTGATAACGTTGATCCTCGAGTTAGCTCCTGCCTGCGGTGGAGGGGCGTCCTCTTTGCTAGCCTCCTATTGCTTGGCTGTTACGCAAGCACTGGTTACTTAACCATTATCTATTGAATTAGCCACAGATTGTTGGATTAAGCTACTGTTTAGTTTGGGATCGGAGTACTGCCTGGCCTCCACCAGTGTTCAAACCATCCTCTCCCAAGCAGATCTACAGCTGTGCCGCACTTCTGGAGATACTAACTAGCACATTAGGCTGAACTCACAAACCATAATAATAAAGTGAAAACCCAGAAAAGCACACTGATGTCTGGGCCCCTGACGTGATCCCTGAGTAGGAACACAGCTGTGGGTGGCGGGTTAAGCACAGTTTGTGGTTTAGCACGTTTGAGCAGCTCCAAGCCGCCAGGGTGGCTGACATCTGGATGAAGGGGGCCATTTTCCAGATTGCTTGGCTGTCATCTGGGACTTTGCCCCCTCAGCCTCCTCCCATTTCAGGATCTGCTGGGGTGGGGGTGGGAGACTGCCGATAAGTTGAAGCATCTCAGAGCAGTGATGGATGGGAGCCCTTCAGCACATAAAAGCTCTTGTGCTTCCCAGCCTCTCCAAAGTTAAAATTGTGCCATCTGGCAGTTGGAGGAACTTACTGAGCTGCAGTGAATTGTTTGTTCTCTGAGCTTTTTCAATCGATCACCAAAGCAGGAGGAGCCCTCCTATTAATGCAATGAGAGTGAGATGACCCTTATCTAAGACCTGCCCTTATCTGCAACAAAGCACATAATCACCCAGGGAAGTGTTGAGCTGGAGTGTGAGGCCATAAGCTTTCATCTCTGCTGGCTAATACAGATGTTTCTTTAATAAGCAGTGCTAAAATGTCAGGTGCTGGGTTGAGGCTGCTGGTGCGGAGCCACAGAAGACAACCCACAGAAGGGGTGGGGGCAGGGGGCTTCTTTTTCTTGCTGTGGATGTCAGGCGAGGGAGAAACAGAACTTGTAGGAAAGGGGGGGGGGAGGCTGCTGATGGAAAGAAGGTTCTAGAGTGCAGGGGGGAGGCTCTTAGTTATTTTGACGGGGGGGGGGGGGCTAGAGCTACTTTCAAGAGGCCTCTAAGAATAATGGGTGGGTAAAAAAGGGCTTACTAACTCAGCTTACAGTTTTGTAAATGTTGTAAATGTTCAGGAATTATTCATCAAGAATTCTTTGCTGCTGAAAAACATGAAGGATAACAGAAGAAAGCCCCATTTATCTCCAAAAACGCTTTGAATCACCTTTTAAGGGTGTGCCGTGACTGAGAGGTGTGCAAGAAAGAGCAAAGGTGGGGGGGGGAGAGAGAGACTCCTTAGCAAGCACAAGGAGCACATTGACATGTTCACTTATTTTGCTCAGCTGCCATGGAAATGAGTGCTTGCTTGTTGCATTGGGTTGTGTGAACTGACATACTGTGGTTTGTAAAAGAAGATGGATGGCTTTCAGTGGAAGTCAGACCTAATCCAGTGTGGTTTGTCTACTAAATCACGATAAAACAAACTGTGCCTTAGTGCAAGTGATTTATTTTTAAGGTTTGTTGAGGGAGAGAGGGCCACAGTTCTGGAGTCATTGACTGCCTGCATAATATAAAAGGCGAGGAAGTCCCTGCAGATTTTACTCCGCTACGTTACTCTGGGGGGGGGGGGCACTGCTCATCTCCGTTTCAAGGCCATTGAGCCAACACTGTCCAAGGACATTTCTGTGGTCATGCAGCCAACATGATGTCATGGAGCACTTCCTACTGTCACCGTACCCATTTATCTACTCACATTTGCATGCTTTGAATGGCTAGGTTGGTAGGAGCTGTGGTGAGGATGGGAGCTCACCCAGTTGAGTGGCAGTTGGGTCTCGAACCTGGGCTGCCGGCTTTCCAGCTGACAAGCCCAGCAACTTAACCACTGAGCCACCCACACCGCCCTCATCTGCATGATATGATGGGCTAAAAGGTTAATACTTTTGCCATCATCTCTTCCTCCCTACCATACTCGGCACTGTGACTTCATCCAAACTAAAGTTTTGTCTTGGTTTGGGAGTTTCTGAGACCGAGACATGTCCCAAAGGTCCAAGTCCTTGCTTTGGGAAGCTGGAAAAAGTGCAGCTTTTTTGAGACCAGACAACCTGCAAAGCTCCAGGAATGAGGTAGGGCTGAAACGCTGGTGCAGAGAGCTGCTTAACGGAATGCCTGGAACATGTCTGTCTGCTGCAGTGGGGGAGGATGGTCCTTCAGCAGGTCTGCTCCTGAGTGATTTAGAGTTTAAGGCCATTCTTTGAGTTGGGTTGGAGGCCCCTGGCAGAAACTGGTGGCCTGGTCTTCCCTAGACCCAAAGGGATGAAGCTGTCAGTTCTCCCATATCCGTAGTTGAGACCCTAACTCCAAACTAGTGTTGCAGCTCTGGACACAAGATCCCCCCCCCATCCTTTCAGTCTTGTCCTTCCCATCTTTTGTCTGTTTACACACCACAGCTGAGGGAGATCCCAGAGGGAGGAGCTTCACGTGAGGTTTTTTTGGGTCTGCATCTTCAAAGCATTGCCATGGCAACCCATTTTGCCAGCATCTTCCTACAGCCTGTCCTCATTATTAAGAAGGCTTGTCCCATTTTTCTCTCAAAACTATTTTTGCTTTCTTGGAAGGAGATCCAAATTAGAATTGCCCTTGTAAATCATTGCATAAAAACAAGGAAGCAGTGGGAGACATCAAGGGTTCCACAGTCCACTAAACAATTCTGCATCTGCAACTTGATCCCCCCCCCCCAGACTCAAGCACCTGCTGGTGCTCTTAAATGCTCTTTTCATCTTGCCCAAACTATGTTTATCCATCAACCTGGAGAGGCAAACAGCTGAGACTGCAAAGAGGAGCATTGCAGGGAAAAAGGAAATTGTCACCAATGCCTGAATGAATAAAGAAGAAAGGACAACTCTAGCCCCGAAAGAAAAGAAAGACAACCAGGAATGTCAGCTTCTTTCAGATAGCAGCTGGTTTTTAGAGCCTTCAGCAAGTGACCTTGGCTTTCCATTAGCTTCAGAAAGGGCATCTCGGCCTCAGGTTGAAAGGCAATGATCTTGCCAGTCAGTCCAAATTAGGTGTAGCTCACTGTGTCAGGGAAACCTATAAAATGGACTTACAGTTCAGCGAAATGACCAGGAGTGAATATGTCCTGCGAACGCAGATCTCCTTTCAAGAAATGGACCTCCAGTGTTAGAGCATCCACAACTTCTTTCCTCCAGAAGTTGTGGATGTTTCAATACTGCAGGTTTTAAAGAAGAGACTAGACAACCGGTTCTCTGGAATGGTATAGGGTCTCCTGCTTGAGCAGGAGGTTGGACTAGCTGACCTCCAAGGTCCCTTCCAGCTCTGTTATTCTGTAAAATGGCACTAGGAAGGGTAGTCCTGCAGGCAAAGAAGGTGGTCCGTGAGGATGCTTCTGTGGCAGAACCTCAGAGGGCTGGGCAGCAGCATCTGCCTTATGGGTTTGGTGTGGGACTCTACCTTGGTTTCTCCTCCCACTAAGCACCAGCTGACCACGGGAGTACAGCCACCAGATGCTTCCCTTAAGTGGGGTGGGATTTGGGACAGTCGGAGTAGCCAATTGCCAACTTGTCAGATCAGCCAGTTGCAGGTGAGGAGGGGACACCCAGGTGAAGTAGGGGAAGTGCCCCATCCTGAGCATTCAGGGTCTAAGTATTGGTGGGCGGGAGGAACTTCCTGGTTCCTTTCCTCCACTTGCCCTCACAATCGTGTGTTGGTGCTTGGAGCAGAATGAGAAGATCCATTGTCAGTAGGGCCATATGAGCCCCTGACCTGGTCCAGATAAGCCAGCCCCAAGTCAAAAACCTGGGAGGCTCAGAACTGGCAACAACAGCAGATCCCTCAGGATTTTATTAGAGAGTAACTCCACAATGTAAGAGCATTTCCCAGTTGATCCCTGGTCCCAAAGCACATGGGTGCCCCTAGACCAGCGGTTCTCAACCTATGGGTCGCGACCCCATTTGGGGTCGATCGACCATTTCACGGGGGTTGCCAAGCAAGGCTGTCCGCCATTTTTTTCCCCTTTTCCGGCGGGTGCCTCACCTCCCTTGGGCTGGGCCAGCTGGTGGCCCAGCCAGTGGTTGGCCTGCTCCGTCTCTGCTGCTTGCCAGCTATGCCTCGGCTGGCGCAGGGGGCGGCACCACGCATGCGTGGCGCTCCTGGGCAGGGAAAGTCCTCGACTTACGACCGGCTGGGTAGTCCTCGACTTACAACCGCTTTAGTCCTCGACTTACAACCGCTTTAGTCCTCGACTTACGACCGGTTGGGGGTCACGGCATTAAAAAGGTTGAGAACCACTGCCCTAGACCCAGCACACAAGGTCCCAGGTGGTCTCGTCCAGCTGACCCCATTCCCTCCCTGGCGTGGGACAGAGGCACCTCGTCTCTTTCCAGGCTGAGCATATTCTCTCCCAGGATGGAGTGATCTGAACTACCTCCTGGGGGCTGAGATTGGGGTGACGTCCCAGATAGTAACATAAAAACCCCTCCCAAGAGGAAAGACAGGAATAAAAAGACAGGAAAGTCCCTCTCATTTGTGGGACTGGAACAACAAAATGGCTGTGCCCCAAATCGTGCACCGGGTCTTCTCGCTGGGTTCTCCCCAGAGCATGGATTCCTGAAGGCAGCCCGGAGGTCTTACGGAGCCCTTGGAGGGAGCGACTGTTGACACTGATTTCTGCTACAAAGAAGATTGACAAAGGGGTCATCCGTCTTCCTCAAACTTAGGAAGACCTGAACTCAAACCGAGGAAGATGTGCCTGGCCACAGACCTGGGATTATCAAGCAATGGGGGAAGGGCCCTCAGTTGAGCGCTAGGAGAGGAAAGAAATGACAAGGTTCGGTTATAAGGCGGAGGCTGGGAATAGTGGCTTACTCACTGCTAGTAATCCAATTGAAAAAGGTGCCAGGTGGTGGTGATGATGATGGCAAGGCCACCTTGCTGGGCCAGGTTCTCATTGTCCTCTCTAGGATCTTCTAGAGAAGCTGGATGCTGCTGCAGCGTTGACTCTCCAGCTGCGCCTTTGCATGTAAGGATGCTTGAGAGAGAGAGACACGTATCGCCCTGGGAAAGCCGCTTTCTGCTCACCTTTTGCTTGGTAAGCTGGACCCAGGCCTTCCTGGCTGATGTAATCAACCCTGAATTGCAAGATAGCAAGAACCCACCTAGCAGAAATATAAGGATTGCAATAGGACACCCCCCCCCATTTCCATTGTTGTTGTCAACAAAGAGAAATAAGACATTAGACAG